TTCAGGCTTCCACCTGTAGTCTTATGTATTACAGAGGCTCTGCAGGAAGTGAGCCCCCTACTCTTGTCGCCTTCAAAATTAGGGCTGTGGTATTTCCTCCTGGTTCCAACGGCTGGCGACATTGTTGCTCAAACAGAGGTAAAGGGAAACCCCAGCCAGATAACATTGAAATTCGGTGCTTGTCATGCCATTAGCTACTCCTGGGGCCTTACGTGTATGTAGCTCGCTAAACTGGGAAAGAAGCTACATGGCAGAAAATAAGTACCTTTGCGGAATAAGACCGTCTTTTTCCATTTCATGTGCCTTATAGAACTGTGTCAAATGGGCCACCTGGCAAAAACCAACAAATGACACTCCTTAAAAAAAGGAGTAACCAAGTCTAAGTGCCAAACCTATCACTGTACCCCTTAAAATTGACCATCACTCAGCCCCAAAACCTGCAGTGGCAAAAAGGAATGCAAGTGTTTCTAGGGATTGATGGGAAGGGGTTGAATCCCAGAACTGTCATTTTCATTAAGGGGCAGGTCCAGAATCTTCTGGAGAAAATTTTCACCCACCCCCTTCCTGAAGGTCCACGGTCCGTCAAAAACCTCTTTCTAGGGTTGGTAGAGAACATTGCCAAAACCCTAAAGGTAACCTCATGCTTTGTGTGTGGCGGTATATTATAATAGGGGATCAGTGGGCAAGAAATAGACCCAGATGTTTGGGGAAAATAAATTAATGTCCCAACTCCTGAGACACCTCCTGCTCAAACTTTGACTGACTCGGCCCCTAGGATACTGCAAACCAGTATCATAGGCTGCCCTTGCGTGGCACAATGGAGGGTCAACGTTACCATCCCAGTGGGTCAGTCTAACTCCTTAGGACAAAAGGTCTATAATGAAACCTCAAAAGCCAGTGAGTGCTGAGGAGATCAAAAATTAGAAATGCAATTTATAAGAGTAAAGTGGCCTGAGATTACACACTGGCACAAGAAAGTGGAGCATGTGGGAAGTTTAACTAACTACTGCCTAGAAATAGACGATGCAGGAAAGGTGGCTAATATTATGCAAACAACACTATAATAATTTTCACTATTATTTAGTTATTTCAATTGCTAATTTGGTCACAACTTTTTTTTTTAATATAACAACATAAAAGCCAATGGATTCAACAGGAAGAATTAATCTACTTACCTATAAAGGTAATTTCAGATGTTTAGATACTTGGTAGTCTTAGTGTATGAAACTATGTTTCCAAATTATTATGTGTTATATATATTTGTTGTTGTTGTTATGTGCCGTGGAGTTGGAACCGACCCATAGCGACCCTGTAACCCTTTTTAAAAATTAGGGTTAATCATAATTAGGGATATTTTTGTCTGTCTAATGCTCCTTTTGATTTTAAATTGCATTTGGCTTTACATTAGTTCTATAATTAATTCCCATCAGGTTTTTTCACTTTAAAAAATATTATCATAAATAAATCACGATAGTATTGAGTTTTGTCATCTGCAATAAGCTGCTCATGGTGTTGCAGGAAGACGAGGCCTGAACAGGAGAAAGAAATCACACAAACACTGGTGATAATAGAGGAAGAGGCTTTATTGTTGGGGGAGCATTGGTGGACTAACATCCCAAAGAAACTGAGCTCCCCAAAACAGCTTTCGTATTCGCTTTATATAGGATTACATAGGGCTGAGTGGTGAGACCACCGTGTTTCTTTGATACTGGGGCCGAGTCAGTCAAAGTTTGAGCAGGAGGTGTCTCAGGAGTTGGGACATAAAGTTTTTGACTCAAAAAGAGAATCATGCTTGATGATAGTTAAGGCAATAGACAAGAGGTATATTGAAAAAGGAGCATCTGGTAGCGTAATGGTTACGAATCGGGCTGCGAACCACAAGGTCAGCAGTTTGAAACTACCCGCTGTTCCACAGGCGAAAGATGAGGCTTTCTGCTCCCATAAAGATTTACAGCCTCGGAAACCCTGTACAGGTTTGCTATGAGTCAGAACCGACTCCACGGCACACAACAACAACAACAACATATTGATAAAGACAGCAGAAGATATAGACTTTAAGTGGATCGAGGTAAATACTGTTAACTGATGATACAAGGAAGGGATTGTGATCATTGTAATTAAATGAAATGTATAATTTGTTGAATATAAACTGATGATGATCTGCTCTATAAACTTTCAATCAGTTCACAATAAAAAGTACATATAAAAAAAGAGAGAAGCAGACAGTTCTCTTGAGGTGAATCTGTAATTTAGTAAAGAAAATCTTTTAGCACTCTTCTTATAAGATAGGAAAAATATTTTGGCTTTTCCACGAAGTTTCAAATTGTCAAGAATTTATCATAGGTCACTGAGAAACAACAATTAACTCGTATTTTAACTAGAAATTTTAAAGATAAAACCTTAGCTTTTAATTTTTTTCCCCTGAAATCATGCAGTTTGTTCTGACCCAGGAATCTACATTTCAGAAAAATTACATAAAGGATAAATTAACTGTTCAAACCAGTAATCAAAGATCATTTTTGTTACTTTAACAGCAAGAAACCCGATTCTTCTTTACATTTGTAAAGTAAGAGCAAACTTTAGCAAAGCATTCCTATGGCTTGGACTCATACCATGCTCACAAGGAAAATGAAATGTGGTGACTTGAGTCAGATTCCTTAATAAGGTGGGGGCATTCTTAGTCCTTATTCCACCTTAATCTTCATTCCTTTGTTGTTGTAAAGTGCCATTGAGTTGGTTCTGACCCATAGTGACCCTGTATAGGGTTTCTGAGGAGCGATTGATGAGTTTGAATTGCCAACCTTGTAGTTCAAACGGACCTTGAGGTCGAGCTATTATCCTACAGCACCATACCAGTACTCCAATCTTTATTCCTTAGTCCCATGTTAAACCTTACCCCTTGATGGTGGTGGTAGTGTGCCGTGGAGTTGGTTCTGACTCATAGTGACCCTGTATAGGATTTGTTGTTGTTTTAGGTGCCATCGAGTCAGTACCGACTCATAATAACCCTACGCACAACAGAATGAAATATAGATTTATGAGGTATAGGGTTTACAAGATTGTAAATTTGTATGGGAGCAGAAAGCCTCATCTTTCTCCTGCAGAATGGTTAGTAGTTTCGAACTGCCGACCTTAAGGTTAGCAGCCCAATTTGTAACCACTATGCTACCAGAGTGCCTTACCTTATTCTTTAGTTTCACCTTAATCCCGCCTCATTAACAACTCAATTCAAAATGGGTCCATAATCACAGGTGTAGAATCTAGGATTTACAATGCATCACAAAATGGAGGACGATGGCTAGAAAGGCCATGATTAATAATAAACTCCCTTGTGCCATGTAACACAATATTAGACACGTTTTTCACTGGAAAGAAAAGACACAAATGGAAATTCATTTTCTCAAAGTGATTAGTGAAATTCTAAATTAGTTCTTTCTAGTATATTAAGCTTAAAATATAAACCTTAAACCAGTGTCCTGATAGGGGAAAGACAAATCCAGGTTCATTTATCAAGGATGCTAAGGATTATGTTGGAACTTTGGGTTTTCATGGTCAAATAAAATTCCTAACAAGGAGCCAGTCTTCAGAGATTCTAATTTACTATGGAGAGACTCTTTAAAAGGGCCAAATTAAATTTTTCTAGAAGCCCACCAGCCACTCCTTGGAAACCCTACATAGGATAGCTAGGCGTGTGAACCAACTCAATGATACTTAACAACCACACTCTTAATGAGACAATGATAAGCAAATAAGTACAAGCAAGTGGCAGATCCAAAATGTTTGTCTATAAATTCAATAGGAAACCATAAGAGAAATTCTGCATTGTCTTCAGATACGTGATTTCCTAATTTCAGAGGTTTGAGTTTGTGCCTGTCTTAGTCTGGATTTTCTAGAGAAAAAAAAAATATATATATATATATCATAGCAACCCTGTATAGGGCTTCCATGGAGAGGCTAGTGGGTTTGAACTTCCGACCTAAGGTTAGTGGTCCAGTGCCACATCAGGACTTTATACACACACACACACACACACACACACACACACACAGAGAGAGAGAGAGAGAGAGAGAGTTCTATTGGTCTATTTCAAGGAAATGGCTCACACAGTTGTAGAGGTGGGCAAATTTCAACTCAGTGGGTCAGATTTCAGTACTGACTCATGTAGTTCTTGTAGAAGTTGATGAACCCAAGGTTGGCAGGTTACATGGCAGGCTTTTGATTCCATAGTTGAATGAATCCAAGATTGGCAAGTTAAGATGGCAGGCTGCTGAAAACTTCCAGACAATACAGCAGACCATTGTCTCAATTCCAAGGAAAATGAGCCAGATGCAAGATCCAGTTCCAAGAAAGAGCAAGTAAGCTTTTATATGGTATCCATATGTACTGAGAACACTCCCTTTAATTGGTTGACTATTCTTACTGGATTTTATCATAGAAATGATTATATTACATTAGATCTCATCATGGGAGATGACTACATCTTAACTGACAAGCCACTGAGAATCTTGGCCCAACCAAATTGGCACACAACCTTTATAAAGCTGCAAAAATTAAGTGTCCTTATTTTTTGCAGCTTATAGAACACCAAATTTCACAAAATCAAAAAATTTTAGGATGTTAATTTATGCAGAAACAAACAAAAACTCTTTCAGGAGACAAAATCTGAACCTCAGCCATTGCCACCCATGAGGGCAAAACAAGACCCTGACAAGGGAGAAACAAAGAGGACAGAGAAACAGACAGCAACAGAAAGAATGTCCCCCACCCCCTCAAAAAAAAGTCAAGCATTCAGCATATTCAAGTTCGCTTGAATTTTTTTAATTTGGAGATACAATCAAACATTTCCTTTCTATACGTGCTAAAATATTATCTTGAGACATATGAAAGAACTGCATTTTATAACCTCATTTTAGTTTCTTGTAAATTGAACTGCTGTTTTTTCCAGGATTCTTTGAGATTACCAAAGACCTTTCTACTTACCCCGGGAGTAAACTATTGCTGGCAAACAGAAACAAAGAAAATGTTAACAGTTCTCAAATAAAAAAATAACACACAGCAAGACTTAATAAGATCTCAGAGAGCCACACTGAAACACAGGGCTCAAAATTCAAGGGGGCTTACT